TTTATTTTATTTATTTTATTTATTTTATTTATTTTATTTATTTTATTTATTTTATTTATTTTATTTATTTTATTTATTTTATTTATTTTATTTATAAGTATAATATAGTTTAAATATAAATTAGGAGATAAATTAAGAAAGAAAAAAAAATAAAAATTTTTTTTTATTAAACTAGTTATAAACTAGTTAATAACTAGTTAGGTAAGTACTAGGTATTAATAATAAATATAAAAATAAAATAGGTGGTAAGCTAGTAACTAGGCCTTATTATAAAAAAAAGCTATTAAAAACTAGTAATAATAATAGTAAACTATTAATTTATAAAGTTATAGGGGGCTAAAGGTATAGTAATTAATAAAATTAAGCTAGGGGTGGACTAACTAGTCCCTAACTAGTTATAAAAAAAACCTAGTTAATAAGCTAAGCATAGGTATAACTAGTTTTTAATTAATTATTAAAAAAGTTAAGGCTTATTAACTTTTAAATAAAACTAGTACTTAACTAATTAGGCCTGTATATAATAAGTTAAATAATTATTTTTTTAGGCCTGGTAGGTAAAGTAACTAGGGGGTAATAAGTTTTTAATTAATTAATAATTATTATTTTAAAGTATTTTTTAAAAATAGCTTTTAATTTTTTAAGTACTACTTTTATATTATAATCTATTATTTTTAAAACTTTAATTAGGCTTATAACTTAGCCTAATTTTATATAATTAATTTTATTATAAAGGGTAATAACCTAACTAGTTAGTAATTAAATTATAACTAATTATAAATAAAATATTTAAGGCTTAAAGATTATGGCCTTTACTATAAAATAATAAACTTAAAAGTTAATTTAAAATAGCTTTATTTTAAAACTTTAAAAAAATAATATAAATCTTGCCTAAATCTTATATTTTAAGGTAAAAGCTTTTTTTTTTTAAATTTATATTAAAGGCTGTATTATTTTTTTATATTTTACCTTTATTTTTATATTATAATTAGTTAGTAATAAGTTAAAATTTAGTAAGTAATAAGTTAAGGTTTAGTAAGAAACTAGTTAAAAAATTTTTATATAACTTATATTATTATTATAGCTTTAAAGTAGGTTAAGCTATTTTATTATTATTTTAAAAGCTATATATAATATTATATATTTTTTAGGTATTATATTAAGATATATCCCGCTTATTTAAAGTATAGGTATTAAGTTAATTAATTAATAATTAAATATTAATTAATTAATAACTTTTTTTTAGTAAAAATATATAATTTTTAGTAAGTATTTTTACTAGTATTAGTATAAAAACAGGCCTTTTTAAAATATATATATAATATTTATAAATAATATAAATTAAGGCTAGTAAAAATTATTATTATAGCCTTATAAATAGCTTATTATTTTATTTTTAGTAGGACCTAGGGTGCTAAAATAAATTAATAAAAAAAACTAGTTAAAAACTAGTACTTAACTAGTTTATAACTAGTTACTTACTTAAAAAAAATATAATAATATTATAAAACTTATTAAAAAATTAAGTATAAATAAGGCTTGTTATAAGCTAGTATATTATTATTTTTTATTAAAACTTTTTAATTATATTTTTAATTTCTTGCAGAAAATAAACTTAATAAAAAATAATAATATTATAAAGCTACTATTAATAAAACTAGTTATTTAAATTAAAACTTTAAAAATATTTACTAAAACCTAACTAATTAGTAAATAGTTAATAACTAATATTAAAAAATACCTTTTATTTAATTTTTATTTATATTTATAATAATTATTTTAAAGCTTTATTAATAAAAATACTAAAATCTTGCTAGTTTTCCGCAAATTACTTTAAGTAATTTAAAAATCTTAGTAAATAAAATTTTATAGGTATCTCCTAATTTTTAGTTTATAAATACTTAATAAAATATAGTAACTAATATAATTAATTAATAATTAATAATTAACTAGTTATTAATAAGTGCTAGTTAACCTATTTTTATTATATTTTATAAGAAATATAATAAAAATAACCTTATTAAGGCTATTATTATTTACTGCTTATAAAATATATTTACCTTAAAAAAGCTTAAAAACTATATAAGTTTAAGCTACTTATTAAAAGTATAAATAATAATTATAAGACCTTTATATAAATAAATGTTTTAAATATATGCCTAGAATAAGTTAGTAACTCGTTATTAACTAGTTAAACACTTATACTTACCTGCTTGGTTATTATAGTAAATATTTAATTTATATTAGCAAATGCTAGATGGATATTACCTAGATAATTAACACCATATTTTTAATAAAATTTATTAACCTGTAAACTATAAAGGAGTTAACCTAGAATAACTAGTTAGTAATTAATAGTTAACTAGTTAATAACTAGTAAATTATATTTACCTTTTATAAAATTTAAATTACCTATGTTTTAAATAATAGCTTAAATCTTTTTATAATATATATAAGGTAATTTTTTTAGTGTTAGTGGTGGGTGTGTATACTTTTTTTAAATATAAAAAAAATAAAAAAATATTTTTTAAAATTATTTAAAATAAAAATTTAAAATTTAACCTAGTATTTTAGTGGTTTTATAAAATATAATTAATTATAAAAAAAGGCTTTAATTAATTAATAACTAGTTAAAAACTTATTAAAAATAAGTTTAAAAACTTATAATATTTTAAATATTTTAATATTAATAATTAGTAAATATTATAATTATAAGGTTAAAAAACCTTAGGTTTTTTAAATAATTACTTTAAATAATTAATATTTATTTTTTATTTAGGTGCTAGGGGTGTAAAGTAATAATTATTTAAAAACTTTTAATTTTAATTATAATAAATTATAAAAGCTAAGGCATAATTAATACTTAGCTAGTAACTAATTAATTAATAACTAGTTATATATTTAAAAAGCTTAAGCTTATAAGTTTTTTAATAGTAACTTAAGGCCTATAGGTCTTATTAAATATAAAATAAAAAGGTACTTTTTTATTATTACTAAATAACTTACTTATATTTTAAAAATAGCTATAAAGGTAAGGGACTAGTTAGTTACTAGTTAAGTATTAATTATAAATATATTACTTACTTAATAGTATTTTTTTTTATTAATTTTATATACCTTAAAAAAAGCCTAATATTACTAAATATTTTTTTAGCTATTATTATTAAGCTTAAAGTAATAAAGGCTTTTAATATTTAAATAAATTATAGGATATATTTAAACCCTAAAGTATTAATACTTAATATAAAAATATATTTAATATAAGTAAAAATTTAATAATATAAAAATAAAAATTAAAAAAAAATAAGGGTTAAATAATTAAGGCGCTTTATACTAGCTACTTTTAGTTAGCCTTGGATGCCTAACCCGCGTGACCCAGTCGACCCCAACTATGGTCTTGAGAATCCGCACATGAGCTCTGCAGATCCCCACGATCCAAGCCATGGTTCGTCCAGTGGGCCCTGAGTCAGTTGAACAGAGACAGCAGAGCTACAGTAGTAGTGTACACAGAAGAAAGGTGGAAAAGAGTTTGATTTGAAACGACCGTGCATGCCACGGTGCTCTATAGCCGCTCATCCGCTCATCCGAAGGGATTCCACCTCTAATTGCGCTGGTCGTAGATCGCCAGTCCGACTTTCAAGACGCCCGGATTTCATTTACCAGGGCGATCATGGATCCTGCATATCCTGAAAGTAGATAATGATCTAATTGTCCAGGCCTGGACACTGCTCGCTTGTCTCTGCGGTGATCTGGTCGTACGGGGAGGGATCGGTCCAGGTCAGATCGTACCTGCATTGTTAGCATCTCCTTTCCCACGGTTCGCTCTTGACGGAGTATTCACCGGTCATCAGGGTACTCAGGGGCATTGTCATCGCCCAGCTCTTCAATAATGTCCGTCAACGCATCGTGCTCCCAGCAGATAAGTACGTTCCCCTCGCCGTCATAGTCATCTACTGCATCCTTGACACACTCCGCGTCATCGCGATCGCAGGAGATGTCCACTTCAAGGCCCAGGTCTTGCGCCAGAGGGAGGACTGTCTGATATGGGCGGTTCCGCTTGCCATCTGACACGGTGAGCGCAGGAATTCTATCGGAGAGCAGAACTTACTCGACTTGGGCGTCATCGCCATGATATACCCGATGTTGTATCCCGATAACGCACCAAAAACCTGCCGGATGCACTGTGCGCGATCCTCGCCCTGGGCGCTAAGTCCGGTGCCTCCATCAGCAGGCTTCTCGCCGTGTCGGATGAGGTAGACGGTCGGCTTTGCAGCGGCGACCGTGCAAGACGTAGCAAGGAGAGCGATGGAGATGATCGTGGAATACATTTTTGATATTGATGGCAAGCGACTCGATGACCTGTCCTTCTTCCGTTACGAAACGCTCTCTTATAGCATTTCACCGTCTCAACAGCCCCGACGGGGCAAAGAGCAAATGCGACGCTGTCTAGTGATGGTGATATTGTGCAGCTGACGTGATTGGCTGACTACTGCACGTGGTGAGATGAATCGATGATCTGCTTCAGCGAGTGCTTGTTTCTCCACTTCTTGGGCGTCTGTCTATCGAGATTGCTTTTGCTGCGGTTACCGGTGTTGTGTGGTATCTTGCGTTCCTGCGCAGGTTGTCGGGCGCGCGAGGACCTTGGAGACAACCAGAGTATAGCCTAGCCACTGACGTCAAATGCCATCGTTCCCAATGGACAATGGCTGCATCGTGCTTGTCAACGTCCCGATCGCCACAAGATGTTTCGCTCAGCCTGTTGGTCGCTCCTGCCATCGAGATGCCCGCTCGACCCTTCGCTATCAGCCGCGATTGCCCATGCGCTCTCAGGGTCGTGGAGGCTTGTTCCCCGGCTACTTCAACTTGCCTGTCTCGGGGCCAAACCGTTCTTTTCTATCGTATTGCCATCGGTGGAGGGCACTGCTGTCTCCCGCATATTGCAACTGTCAACTGATCTCCTCCATGGGTTCGTCACCGGCCCGGGACTGCCATCCGGCCATCGCGTAACGATGCTGCGTGAACCACGGTCGCGGTCAGGGAGTCTGTTCCGAGGGAATGAGTCACTTGGTCATTCCACCATCTTACCATCTTAAAGGCCGCCCTCACCTTCTGACACCCGCGACACCAAACCTCCTCAACACCCGCAACGCATCCCGAAACACCCCGCGAGCAAAACGGACATCAAACTGCACGTCATGTGTCAAGCAATCAACCGCGAGAAAGTCGTTTCCCTGAGACAAATGGCGGACGAGATCCCGGCCGAACAGGAGCAAACCGATGAGGCCAAAACCCTGTTCCAGCACGTCAAGGCATGGGAAAACTTCGTCAAGATACTCGAATGGGTGGAGGACGATAACCTCGAAGCGATGAAGCGTGGCCCCAAGAGGTCTGCGTGGACTTCCTTCAAGAAGCTCTTGAGAAAGAAGAGCTCTGGTTCGGACACCCAGTGTATGGAGCGCGGGACGATGACCAACAAGGAATACCGCCGCAAGCAGGCTGCCTTTCGCGCTGAGCTCATCAAGGTCAGCAATGCCCAGCATCCCACCGACGAAGATACCTTCTGGTGCCCGGTCGTCGGAACCTGGTTCGATAAGGAACTGATGCACGCCGTCCAACTGTTTCCTGACATATACATACCGGACGTGATGGACAGAATCTTCGACAAGGGACGGCACACGGAGCTCTACACTCCCAAGAACGGGCTGTTTGTTTCGCACGTCATTGAGAAGGCCTTCGACGCTGGAAAGATCGCCATCATGCCGAACCTCCCTAACAACCCATCAATGGCTGCATTCCTCGCCTGGGTCTGCCGAGAGTCACTCGAGTACAAGGTCAAAATCATGGACCCGACCTGGGAGAAACTCGACCAGCCGGTGACCCGTCGGATGGATAAGACATGGAGGCAGCTTGACGGCCAGCGGCTGCAGTTCCGATCATCCTTCCGGCCTGCCTGGCGGTATCTGGACTGGCATTTCTGCGTGCAGATACTGCGCTCTATATGGGCGTGCCGAGATATCGAAGGGGAGTTCATCCGGGTGCCAAAAAGGCCTCGCAAGCGTTACTGGGGTGTTAGTACGCGCTGCCCCGGGGGTAAAGGTATTCAGAGCGTGTTTGATGATCTTAGCGAAGGGTGCCAGGACCTCATAGCCAAAGCCAGGATTCGGCCATACTGCGGGTCTACGATACTTGCTCTGGAAGTGGCGTGCCGCCAGATCACAACAGGAACAGAGCTGAAAGATCCGGATTGGAGGAGATGCGAGAATGATATTCTGGGAGATGAGGATGACACCGACGAGGAAGACGACGACGAAGAAGATAGTGTCTGGGAGGCAGCCACAGAGGGCCTGGCCCCGTCGCACTGCTCCCACTGCCACGAGAAGATCTAGCTATTTCAGAGTTATTCATTCTATACACCAAGTTTGATTCCATCCACCGTCTCCATCCTAAAACCCCAACAAGAACGACGCCCTCAGCAGCAAATTCAAACACAGCACATTCCCCATCCACCAACAAACGCCCCTCAACTGCGACCACCCCGGATGCTCAACGCCAACATACACAACCGCATACGCAACCCTCGCAAGCGTATACCCCACAACCGCCCGATTAACCACAACCCTCTCGACCCCAGCAACCGTCGCCATCGAAACCGCCCCAACAAGCAACGCATAGTTCTCGACCGCATTCGCATGCGCGCTCTCATTGCGCCTCATCATGTCCAGCGTCCTCTGGCTGATCTTCCCCGACCGCACCGCGGCATCGCCGTATTTGGCTAGGTCCTCGCGCGGCGACACGTTGTGGTCCAGTCCGTAGTACTGCTTGATTGTGCGGCTGGAGAGGAGCCCGTAGGCGAAGACAAAGTTGAATATTAGCGCGGATGGGCCGAGGTTGGGGATTGTTTGGCCTGGGTGGGGTGGGGTCAGGCTGGGGGGGAGGGAGAGGCCGAGGGTTGCGAGGGACATTCTGGCTTGATTTTTTGGAGTTAGATTTGATGATGGGGGGTTTTATCGGACGGGCTGGCGGGGTTTTATAGCTGGAGGGTCCGGGGTAAGCCGGGTCTGGCCGGTGAGGGGGCTGGGCTGGAGGATTGCAGGCATTGCAGGCATTGGAGCACCTAGGGTACCCGAGAAGAAGCACGAGAATCACTACCTACCATAATGTTTCCTGGAATTATTTCCTGTTGATTTGACTGCTGAATATCTCTCTGGGCTTAGTAGGTATATTTCCATACCTCATGTGGCATCCCTAAACCGCTACATAATTCTTACATACAGATAAACTAAACGCAACTCCACGGCCACCGAGTATGTGCGACATGAACCACACACATGCGCATGTGGAGGGTAAGTCTGCGTGTAAATGGCCAGGAAATATTACAGTGAATTTCTGTTCCTTAATAACGACTGTTTGGTTCAAAGAGGCCCATTACACCTGCATCCTGCATCTCAGGCACACCACACCGTCCACGGGCAGAGCACCACGATACTTAGCCCGTCCTGTCGAGAATTGCAGTCTACATACCTGATTATCAACCATCTATGAACACAGCTACCATTATAGAAAACATAGGGCAAAGCCGCTTCATGCTCGTAGTCAGCCATCGAGGTTATATCCACTTCATATCACTTACTACATACAAATACCATGAGTACCCTATCTACTCTACCATACTCACAACTTCTCCACCCTCCCCAACAACCACTCCAAATGCCGATACGCAACTCTTGGCTGATACTCGGGCGTCATATGCCCGCTCTGGTACGTCTCCGCCCACATAAGCCCACGCTCAAAATGCTGAACGCCCATCGTGCCCTGCGGCTGATCGACATCGAGCCCATTGGACACACGGACCTCCGCCCACTCGAGATCCGGGAGTTCGGCGCCCAAATAAATGGGCTCGGAGGGCCGCTCGCTGAACCCCAGTTGTCCATTCCAGGTCATATTCTGGATGGAGAGGAGGGTGCCGTTCGTGATGATGATCATGTCGAAGTCGCCGTTGCCGATCAGGACGCGGTTCGTGGCTTCGATGACCTGCGGCAGGACGGCCTCGATGGGGTTTGCGGAGATATCGCCCTCGGATTCGGGGCCTGCGTCGCCGCCGACGAAGACGGCTTGGTTGCTGCAGATGGACCATGTTATGTCGGAGGGGGCGTGCATTGCGCGTTTTACGTCGGGGCGGTCGAAGTACACTGTTGGTGCGCCGTGGGGCTGGTAGGTTAGTTCGGTTGGGAAGGCGAGGACATCCCATTGTAGGGGGCACATGAGGTTGACCTCGTAGATGTCGAAGCAGGTGTTTGACGCGAAGGCCTCGTTGTTGATGAGGTCGAAGACGTCGCAGGCGAGGTCGGCTTCCGAGCTGTAGTTGAAGTACTTTGTAGGTTGGATGCCCGAGGCCGGGAAGGTGAGGTACTGGTCAATGAAGTCGGCGTAGCCGCACTGTTGGTGCATCTCTTCGAGCTGGGACATGAAGGAGCTGTTGAAGTTGAACAGGTTGGCGTTTTGTTGGACGAAAGGAACGGCGGGGATTTGTTCTTGCACGACGTCGTGTTGGCCGATGCAGGGGTCGTAGACGAGGGCGCCTGCAGCATTCTTATTAGTACGATATGGTATTGCCTTGATTGAGAGGGTCAGAGTATGATTGACCGTACCGTTAAGGTCGTAGTACTCGGTGTCATTCTGATCGAGAATTGCAGCGGATATATAGGGCACGTATCTTCCGGCATAACTCTCGCCCGTGACGAAGATCTTGAAGTTCTTGATTCCAAAGGTCTGCTGCCAGTTCTTGAAGAATTTGACAAAGTCCTCGGCGGTCTCTTCCTGCGAGATGGCAGTCGGTGTTCCGACCGAGAATCCGGTTCCGACGGGTTGGTCGACCCTGCAACGGCCGTTAGTCTCTTCGTTTCTGATGGCGAGATTGATCTTAGTAACGACGTACCAGAGCACATTCGTCAGATTCACCCAAGAGTACGGGTTCTCGACGGGCGCCCAGGTTCCAGGCTGCCAAAGGAAGCGTCCGTTCTCCTGGAAGAATCCCTCAAGCGAACTACACCCGGGACCACCATTGAGCCAGATCGTGACCTCATCAACGGGCTCACCGAGCTTAGGCTGGAAGGCGAAGAACAGCGCGCGCGAGTTGTTGCCCTTCTCGATGGGAATCAGGCCGGAGTAGAGCTCGCCGACGTCGAAGTGCACGTCAGGAAGGTGATCGACGAGGAAGGCTTTCCATTCCCTGTTAGTAAAAGTACAGACTGGCGGGAATATGACTTTATGAGGCAGATACATACGCGCAGTGTTGTTGTTCAGGAACCGAAAGTCCTCCTTGGGATGCTTGCCAGACGCAGTGGCATTGTGCAGGTGCGAGGCGCGTTTTGCTAGGTTCACGCTGTCGCGAGCTCGCTGGCCGAAGCGGCCATGGGGGGATGAGGCCGATACATGCTCGGCATAGAGCGAGAGGCCGGCAATGGCCGTCGATACCAAATTACTCAACCTCATCCTGCTGCGATTAAAGGACAAAGTTTGAAGTCGATTGCTGATCCCACGAGGGACATCACGCGATTTATAAACCGTGCAACGCACGGTCAGTGTGGAGCGCTGCATGCTGAAATCTACCCAGCGACCTATGACCGTCGGCAGTCATATTGAGGTTACAGAAGCCGGTCCTTTTCTGCAATGATCTCCAAAACAACCAGGGGAAAGACCAATGGCGGCACTGGCCGGATGACAATGGACAAGTGTGGGGAATTGGCAGATAAGCAATGCTACCTCGCTAGGACAAGGCTTGACTGCCACCAAGCTTTGTCCATCGTCTCCAATTCTTGCTTATCGGCCGCCGACGGACCTGCCTGTTATGTGCTAGGGCATGTATCGTGCCATCAATCCGTGATTTATCCATCTCGAGGCTTGGGAATAAGTCCGCCAAGGTTCTATACATCTTTGTAAAGATGCAATCCACCGTCGATCTACATTAGGTGTATGAGATCCTGGGTGTCTGAACTGCAGTAATTTTTCTTTTCTGCGCTCATAGATAATTGAAGCGGTTTATACTTCTTGTGGTTGTGGCCCACCAAGGCTTCGACCACCGAACATCCCTTGCTCCCCCTCTCCATCCACATTACTCTCCTCGATGGTCAAGATCATCCGTAGAGTAACGGTCGTTATCGCTGTCGGAATCACTCATTGCGTCGTTGTTCAACTCCTGGAGCCATTTATCAATCAGTGATTCAGGGGTTGGACCCAAGTCATTGATGGAGATTGGGTCAGGCAGAGGATCAGACGGTGAGATGGTCAGCCCGCAATTGTCATCGAACTGCGTATATCCGGAGAAATATGCGCCTCTGAGGACAGTACGATCAAAGCTGTCATCTTGTTTTTGGATGAGCTCCAGAGCTGCCGCGGTCTGAGAACTACTCCAGTTACTCAGGTTCTTAGGAACAAATAAACAGAGTTGCGGCGTTCTATTGCGACGGTCGACGTGAAGCCAGTCTCTGTAGTCCGCAGTGCCGATAACAAGCGATGGCTGAGGAGATTCGGTCGCAATGATAGGCCCAGGATGATGCCATATCTTGATAAAATTTTCCGAGGGTTCTCTCTGGCCCACCTGATACATTCGAAAGATTTCCTGAAAGGCCTTAACACAGCTCGGCACCGAGGTATCCAATCGTCCCCCGAGTCGACAACGCGAGCGCTCGGCTGCATCTTGGAGGTTCAATTCGGCAAAATCGACGGAGCGGGAATCGCGTATGTCCTCCAGAATTCTCTCCTCGGTGATATTTGGGCGTCGAGATTGTTCTATTTCGTGAAGCGACCGTTTGACGTACATTGTACGACGGAAAAGCTCGGGTATACTATCCTCGGTGGCAGCCACAAAAGCCAAGTCTTTCTTTAACTGCCACTGAATGTCTATGTAAGCGTAGTCCTCAAGTTGCAAATAAATCTTCGAGTTTGATAAGTGTTGCCTCCTATCCCTCTCGCCTGTCCATACTTCTCTAACGCGGTCCAATATGTCTTCGTTGTGGAAGAGCAGCGCATTCGGACTGAGAATTGCCCAAATGAACCGTGCGAAACGTTTCGCATGATCTGGATGTTCAAAATTGTCGAAGATCTCTGCAATGTTGCTGGCTGTGATAAACAGGCCCCCGCCAGATACTAAGATCTGTCTTACATCGCGAACCCATCCATTCTTGTATTTTATGACATCCGTGGGCCGAGGCTCGTCGGGGATGGACTCGAGATTCTCAAAGCAGGGATCGGAGTCAGTGGAGATGTCCACCCTTCCCGAACTACTGGGCAGTTCGGAGACACTGGGTGCTATACAGGCGCTGCGAATATTGGCGTTTTGCGTCACCATCGATTTCAAGCTGTCGAAGATGTCAAATCGATAGAACTCTAAAGCCCAATCGAAGATGCAGTCGACCAATAAGACTAGCTTCAAGGCACCATCCTTATCCTCGACATCGCCAGTCCACATTTTAACGATCCTCTGGCGAGTGTCAGCCCTGAATTGCCATCTGAACGTAGGGCCCATACTCTAAAGGCGCCTCACGTAGCGGACTGGATTTGATGTTCAACTTACAGTTGTATACCTCCCCGTAGGGCCTCGCTCTGCAGTAGCAACATAGAGCTTCCAGATCTGGGCCTTGAAGCTGACAAGCCATATTTTAGGTAGCCCCTCGCCCATGAGCGCGGGTAGAGAGCGCTCAACAAGAGCAGTTTGCATTCTCAGCATCTCATACGCTGGTAGCGCCATCTGCCGTTGCATATCCTCCCAACTGTCCGGTGCCCGCGCCCTTTTAGCCTCAAGTACCAAAAATGGGAAGATCATTCCACTCTCGTTGATACTTCCAGTGCTGGCAAAGAGATCGGACTTGATATCATCACCTACTCGCTTGCCACGGGAATTTTCGCTGGGCGACCGAAGGACGTTCCTAAAGTTGTCACTATCTGCGAGTCCCACGACCAGATCCGGGAAAATCCCTGCTGGTGCTCGTCTCGCAAGGTCTGGCTCATACTGCACGTGGCGACTATACAGTCCTTCCAGAACGCGGTGTTTAAGGCGCGGGTCCCTGGTGGACAAGGCTGAGCTGATGATGCACAAGGCTTAGGCGCTGGCTGTGGAAGACGACTTACCACAGAGGACCGTCCGGCGTACAGGCGCACTTTTCTCGTTTGTCTCGTCGTTTTTGGAGGTTCTCCCGCCTTCTACCAACCTCCTTCCCGATCGGAAACTCGACGTCTGCTTTCCAAAGTCGCTTGCCGCACTTGGAGCTATGGAAAAGGTAGTCAGAGTAATGGTGACAGTATGGTGATGGAAATGGACAGCATCGAACCTACCAGGCGTGGTGCTTCAGAGGTTTGAAGATCTTGGTTTCTACCTCGTGTCGCCATGTATCTTCATTATTCTCATTTTTCGCGCACGATCGTACAGCTTCCCAGATCTCCATTGTCCGGTATTGCGTTTCCTTTGAGCTTCTCCGAATATTTTCGTTGATGGTTGCGTTCTCGATATCCTGCACAACGTCATACTCACGTTGGAGATTTGACGGCAGGTCATCGTCGGCCGATTGAAAATGTATGTTATATTCGTCAATCAGGATTTTCAGAGATTCCTGTTTCGCCTGGCTTTTGGCGAGTGCTGCCGTGGTGTGTGACATACTGAAAGCAATGAGACGATGATCTACCAGACGAAAAAGCGGGGCGCGCAGAGAAACCCTGAGCGGCCTTCTGCTAAAATAAGCAGGGGGTCGCGGTCGCGCTCTGTTCAACCTATTCGTCTCTTGGTGAAAATAGCCGTACACCGGCCTATCAGCGACGGATGTCGGGGACCGACAGGGATCATGATTCTGAGCGTCGAATCAGGCCAGCGAAGCCTCGGTCGAAATTGCTCGAGAGTGAGAAAAAGCAAAACCAAAAAGCAATATCCAGAGCGGACTAGCGAGCATGGTCTTCGGCGGGGGAGAAGCGCCATGGCATACAAGAGAGACGATCGTATGCCGTCATTTCTATCGCATCATGGGACACCAGTCGCTCCGTTTCCACCTAGAAAGGGAAAGCCGAGTTGCTGCTGCATACACTCCCTAAACACATGGTCATGTCCGATATTCTCGGGGCCAACTTCCGCCTTGCGAAGCCGTGCGCTAATCAACACGCAGGCTTCCGCCCAAGCACATACGATGCCGGCCAGGCCTTCGAAGAGGGAGTATGGATGATCAGGGATGCGATAGTCGTTGGACGCAGTCTCCGGAGAAGCGTTGTAAGGCTGAGTTTCGCGCGCATGCAGGAGCATGGCAAGAGCGCGAGAAAGAAACTCGTCTCCTGTGAGGTTGTCCTCAATGGTATTTGGGTCAGTTGATCGTTCGGCATAGTTCTGTCTGGCTTTGTCCAATACGTCGCCGTTGTACTCATGCGCGTCATGTAAAAGAAGGAAGGGCCACGCATTGCCGGCGATGCCATGGCATAAACCACCGCCTTTTGAGAGAAGGCCCTCCTCCCATACGCGGTCTGTCGCAAGACGAGCGGCACGATTCCAGCTTGGTTCCCAGTGGTTTAGAAGCAGTTCTCTATGTTTCAATGCACAGCCGAGGAGGCCTAGGATTGCCGGAGCGCCATGACACATCTGGACGAGCGGCGACTCACGAGATGAAGACCGGGGAGGGATCTTGGTCGGCAAGTGACCGTTACGCGCAATGCATACTTCACAAAGTGCGCTGATAGTTCCTCCGATCTCTGGAAGATAGTTGTCGGCGTCGTTGGCCAGTTCATCCAGCGGGCAAGCAAGGAGAACCGGGATTATGCCACATAACCCATGAGCCCTGATGTTTGACGATGGTCAGCGACGTTGACTACGTGAAGCTCTTTACTCACCATCCAACTCCGTAGTCCCCCGGCTTCCATGGCCACATCAAAGGAAGAGCGGCTTTGCGGCCGTGTTTCTTGGCGTAATCCGCAGCCCCTTCTCTGCCCGCATCGATGATAAACCGAATGAGCTCTGGAATCTCGTCGAGAATCGGCTGTAGGCGCTCTTTCTGCGAAGGTGGGGATTCGGCCGTCGTGGTCCTGATATTCAGAAGGGCCCACAGCAGTCCAGCGCGACCGAAGAGAACCTCGTCGGCACCCAAATTGTGCCCATGATAGAAGGCAGTAGAACCATGACTGAGAGCCAACTGTACAGCCTCAGTAAGACATTCAAGGTCCGAATGGGAAATACCATCCGCCTGGTCAGTTAAACATTTGTGGAGAATCCTCAGCGTGACGGTGGCGATGGGCGATTTTGATGCCAGAGGCGAGAGCCCTCCTATCCGGAGAGGAACATCTGGCCCCTGCACGGGGATGCGTGAGCCGGCCAGCGTGTAGAAGTCCGCAGTGGCACCTAACGACTTTACTTGATGACCTAGGCGAAGGTACGCGGCAGGAATTCCTAACGACGGCGGTTAGATAAATCTGAAATTCGAAACAGGGTACTGCGCATGAACTAGAAGCATGTAATAATGGATAATACCTAGCTCCCCAGTAAACATTCCTCGACCGTCATACTGGCCGCTCGCTGGAGCATTAGATTCGATCACTTTAACGCCATTAAGGACGGCGTGCCGGAGGTCTTCCAGCGTCTGGCGGAGACTCGCTTCGTTTATTTGAGGCAAGTCAAGGTCGTTCGTGTAGTACTGAGGGCGCTCGGACATGTTGATCGTGTTTGGATATTTGTGTACCCTCGAGATGCAAGCATTTGCTCATTGGAGGCCGTTCTGCGAATCCGAGAGCTGGGAGATTTTCAGGCATCAACCCCGCGTCGCTCTGACGTGTCAGGCACCAACATGACAGCATGACACAATCGCGTAAAAGCTTCGCTAAATAAGTTATGCTTTGCGGAATCGAGGGCAATTGACGCCATGGCGTGTTTGAGGGTACGAGGAGGCATGAGCTCAAGATCAAAGGATCATGGAAGAGCCGTCCCACAGCCCCGAGCTTTCGATCAACTCATCCCACCAAGCCTATATCACGTTAAGGCAGAAATCCACATGGGAGAGATGACTTACCCAGTCGATGCCATTCTCATTCAAAACACCAATGCCATTCCAGCCGATCCGACTATAGTATGCTGAATCCAGTACCAGCGACTGCGAAGCTTCTTTGGCACTACCCCTTTGGATACTCTGAATCATATCGTTCAAGACTTTATAGACTGTTGCAGCTTCGTCACAAGATCCTGACGCAGTTTTCCACAGGACGACGGACTTATCCAAAGCTTCCACAAGGGTAACAGTTACAAAGTCTGAGGCGCTATCCGGGGCTTTTCGCCTCATCTCCAATTCAAGGAGAATTATCATCGCTGCCGGGGCCAGGATTTGTCGAGTTCGCGAGAATGAGTACATGGGCGGCTGCAACAATTGCTGAAACTTGATCAATGCGAGAGACGATGCGAGACATCGCGAACGGGATATCTTGCTCGACTGCTTCTCGAGATTGCTCTGCATAAACCTTCGATGCAAGGTGCAAATCCCATGGTGGTACATGCATTCCAGCGCTAAATATGAGTAGTTGGGCGGCGATTGGACTGGGCTTTGGTCGAATATATTCGAGTCCACTTTCATATGCGACGGAAGAAGTGACCATGTATCTTCCAAGACCCTATCAACCTCAAGTGCCTTGGTAAAATTATCGGGACAACAGCTATTCATGAAATCGATAACCTCGCCGAGTGCATGGGATACGCGTCCTCTGGCGATCATGAATGTGGCTGACGTTGGCTCCGAGAGCGGCCTTGATAGCGGGAGGGCTGTGATATCCTCAGACAATTCCCAGTCATCAATATTTAGCGGTTCCTTCGTATCTGAGGTTATGGCTGGCGTCATGCGCGGAAAGCCGGACAGGTAAGAGGCCATGTCGTCCATAGTGGTGACCGAAAGCCATATTCGTCGTCTATACTCTCCTTTCATGGGCGATATGGAAGGAGTGTGATCCGGGTCGCGATGATATCCCATATTGACTGCCGCCCGAACAATGACTCCCGTCATGATCCACAGTCCCCGGCTACTGTCGTCCTTCCTGTTCAGTTCAGCTGTGGCGTTGAGGCCAAGAGTCTCGATCGTATATGGCTGACATTTTGCAATATCGCCGATCAGCAGGCACTGTGCGGTTCGTAGCCGATAGAAATCAAATCGTTCTTCGGCGTCGTGATAATCTTGTGAACCAGATAATAGGGCGGCGAGCATGGTACAGGTAAGAATAGAAAAAAGCAACCCTATCCAAATGACGCTGCTTCGCGATGGGTTATCCACGTGGTTGTTGTACTGAAGGTGTCAGAGCAGGCTGGAGTAGTGGCGTGGAAACCATACCTCTCGCATAAATGTCGGTTCGTGTATGATGGCTAAACATCGGTAAGCTCATCCCGTGATGGTATGCCAGCGACTTACGAGGAACGGATAATGGGAACTTTTTCTTATTGAAGAACCACTGGATGAGATTATCCAGTTCGTGCTTGGGTGGTAAAGATGATAAGATCTCAGGAATATCCACTCGCTCAACATGGCCGAAGAGGAGGCTTGTGCCGTCAACCGAATTTGATGAGGGATGGGATGCCGACTCGGCCTGGGTCTCGCCCCATGCCTTTTTCAGTTCGTTGACCTAGACTGATTAGTATAGCTAGCGAATGGGCGAGGAACACACCTCGCGTAGCACGTCATGCCAGTTATTTGTTGGTTCATAGACCGAGTGTTCTCCGTCGATGACGGTCGTACCAACGCGCGCTGGACCCTGACCATCAACACCCCTCGGGCCGGAGTAATGCTCGTCGTGATACGAGGCTGGTGGGAGCCTTGGCGGGACGGTCTGACTGTCGCCGATCAGTCTCTTGACCGTGTCCTCCAAATGCTCAATTCGCCGGCGCATCAGTTCTCCGTTTCTATCAGCACGGGAAGATAATGGTGTTCCGTTCGCAGAACCCTTGAATCTACATCCTGATTCCTCTCCGCGTGCCGTGCAATTTTGGCATGGCTTCTCCCGGTTACATTTCAGTCTATTTGCGTCAGCGTACAGCATTTCTTCGGTGACGGTTCAGGGGGCCATACTTCCTGCTGCGGCATGCCTCGCACGACAGCGGGATACGGGCACGGCGGCAAGACTTGGAGAGTCCATGTACCGTACTTGAAGCCTGCATTTTGCCGTGATATTCTAGCTTTTGGTGAGTGTTGCTGAGGAAGAACACCAGGACTCAGGGGAGGGACGCGCTCCTTCCGTATCGGGCAGGCGCGGAACATTTGTTCTTCCAAGGCCGGCTTTCCTTCGCATCCTTTGTGATCCTCCGCTGTGTTGTCATCCTTTCCCATCCTATTATGGATGATGACCGGAGGGAGAATTCCATTCCGTCCTACGACAGGCGAGACAATGTTGCCTCGCGGTACTTCATGGCTCAGGATCCAGTCGTACCATCCGCGGAAACTATATATATCAACGCTCCTCCAAATCAGCCTATTGTTTTACATGAAAGGACACTGAAAGTACTTAACGAGCGACTCTTCTTCAAGACAACTACGCTATTCAAATATAGATTTTGCGCAACCAGTCCTACGTAAGTGAGTTATATTTCGGTACGGGCGACCACTAGAAGACGGGCAGCTAAACAATCCTTGCAGCCAGAGGCCGGTTCCCGCGATGATCCACCATCCAACCTGAAGACCGGTACATCAATTTCTCAGAGTCTCCATCCTGCCACGGCACCACGTCATCCGTCCATCTAGTCCGAGTACGCGGCAATCCCACGTTCGATTTCGGTGACAATCCCCTCCGCGAGCTCCGACGCAATATCCTGCAACGAAGCCGGAACCTTGGGGGTGATGGCATCCCTCAGTCCCTCGGCAGCTGTCTTTTGATCCTGAAGCGAAGTGAGCACATCGCCTGCAAGACCGTCCGCGACAAAGTTGGGTTCGGCGGCAATAACCGCGTCGACGAGGCCGCTGATATCGCTGGTCAGGTCTTGGATGGGCGAAACGAGTTGGAGGGCATCGAGTGAGCTGAGACTGTCGAAGCCGGCGACACTGGTGGCACCATTGTTGATGATGGTCACGAGCTCGGCCGACGCATCTTGAACGGACGATCCGGCGGTCGAACCGCCGACGTACGAGGCGACGGTGGACGAGACTGTCGCGACTTGGGACTGGATGGCGCTGAAGACCGCGGTGTAGTCGGACAGGGCGCGCTTGGCCTTGGGGATGGGTTCAGCGAAGGCGTTGTAGGCGAGGGTCAGAGTGAGGAAGCCGGTAGCGAGCTTCATTTTGAAAATGGTATGTCTGCGAAAGTCTTGATCTTGAATGTGGACTGATGAACTGGGTTTTTGAAGCTGAAGAACTCGAGTGCCCGTTGATCGCGAAATGAATGACCGGAAACGTGGGGTTGAGTCTGCTATTTAAGCCTCGCTGGATGACACTCGAGGTATAGCTAGTGCAACCTCGGTCGATAACACTCTGTCAAGGTGGCGAGCGAGGTTATTGCGCATGTGCTTCAACTGGGAGCTCGAGGTAGGACGAAGCGCAGGGAACAATTGCGACATTGAGAGTTTGACCACCACCTCTATATCGTTGCCGAGCCCATTTCCCCGCAATATGAGCCCAGTGGCTTGATTCTTCACAATCCTGGCGCGCTATGGACGAGCTTGTTGGTTGGCAGCGTCCTTGGTCGACCAGAACACTCGGGTGTCCCTGACACCTGCAGTGATCACGAATTCCTATTAGCGAAGCAATCCGCATTTGCAGATTATGCTGCACCCCACACGGAGTATACCCCGCAATGAAGGCGGCGGAGCGACGATCATTGTTGAAATCGAACGTGGTCCTACGGAGCAGAGCTCCCTACAGGACTCCGCGTAGGGCTGGGGTCTCCACCAACAACTTTGGAAGTGGATTGTCCTCATTTTTTTCAATCAGTCACTATGCGATGAGCTGCTATGCCTACCCACCCGGTATTGATCATCTACAATATGAGCAAAACGTTATAGGCCAGTCCGATAACACTCAGCATGGGTATCTTGGTCAACTGCCAACGCTGCCTCGTGCTATCGCACAGGATACCACTCTGGGACATCGCAGGTCAGTCGGCGACCTTAGCGGGATGATTTAGCTCTCTGGACCCTTGCAGCAATGATGCATAATGCTACTGTAGATGAAGATTCCACCAATGGAAAAGTCATCTCTCTCGCGAAGGCAAAAGCTAACCCTCGGCTGTGTACCCGTGCGCGAGGGGTAAGTTTGTGGAGTGGAATGTTGAAAATGTAAGGGCGCCCTAGCACCCAGATGTTCTCTACTAACAATGATAAAGCTTGGCAAAGTATCTTTGACCAATAAGAATAAAGTATTTAGAACCTTAATAAATTTAACTAAAATAATTACTTAAAGAACTAAATATACTATAGCCTTTGGCCTTTTTATATAGGCCTTGCCTGAAGGCCTAAGGCCTTTAAGTAATTTTTTAAGCTATTTTTATTTAAAAAGTAGGTAGTATTTAAATATTTTTATATTTACGCCCCTTATAGCCACTTTTTAATTATTAAGGTAATTTAATATAAGGCATGCCTTTATTTTACTACTTAAATAATACTTAAAACCTAAGGTTTTTAAGCTAAGGTTCTTAGTTAAAGCTAACACTATATTAAACCTAATATTATATTAAATTTAATATTATATTAAGTTTTATATAATAATTTATAATAATAAAATTTATTAAGCTAAATAAGTATTTAAGGTATCCTATATAAGTAATATTAATACTTTATGGTAGCATAACCTAGGTAACTTAGGTATTACTTAATAATATAACTTAAATTAATATTAGCCTTAATAATTTTTCCCCTTTTAAAAAAATAAATTATCCGCGATCTAGCGCTAGCCGTTTTAAAAAAATAATAAATAAGTAATTTATAATATTAACTTATTATTATATTATAATATTATAATATTTTTTATTATTATTTTTTTTATTGTTTATTATTCTTAGTTTAAAATATTAAATAATATTTAATATTTTATTTAAAATACCTTATTACTTATTTACTTTTAAAAAGGCGCCTAATTATAAAAATAGCTTTTTTATTAGTTTAACCTAAGTTTAGTTTTTTTAAAACTTTAAACCTTAAATTACTTTTATATAACTAAATTATATAACTTTATTTTAGCTTTTATTTTATTTTTTTACTTTATTTTTTATTTTAATTATATTTAAGTAAAATTATTTTTTTTAGTACAGTGCTATGCTTTATTAATATTAAAAAAATATAATTAATAGCTTTTTTTACTAAAAACTAAAAAAAATAAGGTTTAAATAAAACCTTAAAAACCTTTTACTTTTAAAAATTATTTTTTTTTAGTTACTTGCCTAGTTACTCCCCTGGTAGTAAGTTTTTTAAATAATTTTAAATAAAGCTTTTAAGGCTTTTTTTTAAGTAATAATAAATAGCTAACTATAAATAACACCCTTTTATTTTATTAATTTTAAAAATAATTTTTTTTAGCCTGTATTTATATATAAGGTTTTATTTTAATAATAAGTGCTTTTTTGCCTGTAGTAGCCTGTTTAAAAATATTTTAATAATAATATATTAATATTAAAATATGCTAATTTAAAACTTATTAAAACTAGTAACTTATTTTATTATTATTTTTTATTTTTTACCAGGCTACTATTAATTAGCTTATAAATAATATATATAATTATTTTAGGCTTTTTAAGCCTAATAATATATTTTTTAATTTTTTTTTTTACTTGTTAAGTATTTTAAATAATAATATCTTAAATAGTAATAATAATAATAATAATAATAATAATACTAGTAATACCACGCCCTTTATAATTACCTTTTTTAATTTTATTTTTTTTATTTTAACTTTTTTTACTTTTATTATAGCCAGCCCCGCCCTTTTAATAAAGGTAAGTTTTTTTTATTTTTTTTAAATAGCTTTTAGTATAAATAGCTAATAGCTTTTAAATATGCTTTAAATATACTAAGGTAATCTTTTATAATAATAAAAAAATAAAAAATAAAAATAATTAGTAAATTCTTACTACTAGTGGTAAACTAAAGGTATTTCCTAAGGGAAATTTTTATAAGCCTTATTATAATTATATTTTTTAGGGTTTAGGTTTAGCATATATTTAATATTATAGTAATAGTAATAAATATAAGCCTATCCCTATTTATATATATAATAATATTAATATTTTATAATACTTACCTACTAATAAAAGCTTAAAAAATATATAAGCATGTAAAAAATATTTAATAAATATATAAAAAATATTATTAAGGCTTTTAATAAGGTGCTAGTAAAAGTTTAATTTATAAATAACTTATATTATACTATTTTTATACTTTTTAATAAGCTTTACTTATTTACTGGCAAGTTTCTAGCCGCTTTTAATAAAGGGTATTAAAAAATATATAATAAAAATATATTTAATATAATTAATCCTGCTATTATAATAATCTTAAATTTTACTTTTTAAAAGTTTTATATTTTTATTTACGCCTTTTTTTAAAATTTTATATAGCTAGCTTTTAGGCAGCCTTGTGCCGCTTTAATATTTTATTTATTTTTTATTTTTAAAAAAAAAACTTTTTTTTAATATACTTTTATAAATATAACTTATAAATTTTAGTAATTTAGAGCTATTTAGGTTGTAGTTTATTAAACCTTAAAATTATATAAAAAAAAAAGGTAACTATCTCCACCTAGGTTTTTAATATTTAAATTTAATATTATTTTTAAGGCCACAGGTAGTCCAAATCCTATTAAAAAGTGTTTTATTTATAATAGTAGTTTATTAAACCTTTAAACCTTTTAAAATATAGGAAAAAAATAATTACTTTACTAGTTTTTTAGCTTTAGTAATATAAAAACCTAGTAAATAAAAAATTATTATTACTTTTTTTTAAACCAGGGGTATTTTAGTATTATTTTAGCTAATTTATAATAATTTTTTAAAGCCTTTTATACATGCTTAAAATTTTTAAGTAGCTTTTATAAGTTTTTATAACTAGGCTAGCCTTTTTATTTAACTAAAAATTAATTTAGTTTATAATTATATTATTTAGCAAGAATAGCTTTAACTTTTTATTCTTACTTTTTATTAATAAGTTTTATATTAGGTATTTTTTTATCCCTTTTAAATTTAGGTTACTTAATGTAAGGCCTTAGCAAGAATATATAAAATATTAAATAAATTTTTAATTAAGTATAATAACTAGTAAGCTAGAGCTAATATACCTATTTTTTAATAAGTTTAATAATTTTAAAAAAATTATTAAACTTTTAATTAAGTTTTTTACTTAGTTAAATTATTTTAATATTATGTAATAATAGTAAAATGTTATTTTTAACCTTAAATTTAGTAGGGGTATACTTTTTATTATAATAAAAAGCTTATTTTTTTAAGCCTTATTTATATGGTTTTATAATTTATCTTATAACTTTTATAATTAATAAAGTTTATTTTTTAATAAAAAATATAATATTCTTTTTTTATAATTTTTTAATAAGAAAATAATAGGTTCCTGGTTATATAAGGCTATTTAAGGTATATACCTAGTTATATTATACTTTAAATTATTATAGGTAAATAATATAACTAATAAAAATATAACCTAGTTATTTTACTAAAAGTTATAATAAATATATAGGTATATTTTAAGTATTTAATTTTATTATTTAGTTTAACTATTTAACTATGGATAATACATAGTGTTAAGGTATTTTTTAATTTATAGTATTTAATAAAATAATTATTAATAACTTAAGGTAAATAATAAGCTTTAATTAATAACTAGGCTTTTAGGCACCCCTATATTATATATTATTTTTTTAATAAATTTATTAGCTAGCTTTTTAGTATTAACTTTTTAGGTAGTAAAAATATATTTTACTTTTTTACTAAAATAATTTATTATTACTAATATTATATTATACACGCGGCCTTTATACTTTAATAAAGGTAGGCTAATAATAAAGTTTATAAAAAGATTTTTTTATAATATATTTAAAATTAGTAAAAAGGTAAGCTAGCCTTAGGCTAGCTATTATAAAGCTTTAAACCTTTAATATAAAAAATACTTTTTAATATACTTTTATACTTTTTTATTAAAATTTTTTTATTAAAACTTATGCTTAAGTAGCTTAATAATATACTTATAATTAAAATAGCCTATATAAAAATTATTATAATATACCCTTATAATTTTATATTATAATATAAACATGGGAGGGATATAAATAACCTTTTAATAAA